TCCAGATTGCATCCTTCTTGAGCAACCTGCGAAGGGGAGCAGCGATGGCGGGGAAGTTTCTCACGAACTTCCTATAATAATTTGCTAGGCCTAAGAACGACTGCAATTCTGCCATCGTGCGGGGTGTCGGCCAATCTATATTGCTATCCTCAGGCTTAATTCCATCTTCGTCTAAGACGTGGCCCAGGTACAAGACTTGTGTCTTGGCCCACTCGCGCTTCTTCGCATTGATCTTGAAGTTAAGTCTTTCTCAACTTCTCCAAGACCTGCCTCAAATGACCCTGATGTTCTTGGAGGGTCCTACTGAAAATTAATATATCGTCTAGGTAAACTATGACGAATCTATCTAACCAAGGCCTAAACACATCATTCATGCCGCGCTGGAATGTGGTTGGCGCATTGGTCAGTCCAAAGGGCATCACGATGAACTCATAGTGCTCATATCTAGTCCGGAAAGCAGTCTTATACTGGTCATCAGGGTGGACTTCTATCTGATGGTAACCGGACTTCAAGTCCATCTTCAAGAAATATCTATAGCCCTGCACTCGGTCTAAAAGATCGTCTATCCTGGGCAGCGGCTCAGCATTCTTCACTGTAATTGCATTCAGACCCCTATAGTTAATGCACATACGCAGCTTTCCCTCCATTTTGGGGACAAACAAGACGGGTGCTCCGAAAGGAGACGAACTGGCCTAATCCAACCCTTTTCGAGGAGTTCGTCTAACTTCTTATGTAACTCCTCTAACTCCCTCAGAGACATCTTGTAAACTGCACCCTTAGGAGTTCTACTGCCACACTCTATTTCGATTCGATGCTGGATTGGTCGCGGTACTACCCCTGTTGGCAGCTCTGCCAAATCTTTGAACTCGTCCAACAGCTTGGCAATAACTGGGTCTATTGGCTTCTCTTCAGTAGGCTTAGTGACAGGCCTCACGTACGCTACGAAGACCTGCTCTTCTAATTGCTCTTTCCTTACTAATTGCGCGAACACGGGAGCACTGAGGTAGCAATGTGCCAAGGAGTTATCTACTCCTGACACATGAAACAGGTGAGCAGTCTTAACCCCGCCTGATGGACTAGGGAGCCTACACTCATACTCTCTCCAATGGAGTGTGGCCCTTGCTGCCTCTCCCCAGTCCATACCTAGGACTATATCAAAAGGGAGGTTGTCTTCTACGAGGAGAGTCAGGGAATGGAGGACTTTCTCCACCTTGCCATCTTTCTCTAGGTGAAGGTACGGTTGGACTCCCTCGACGTAATCCTCAACACGCATCGTGCGATTGTCTGTGAGGATACTGACTATGTGGTCTTCCAACTTCCGGACTTTAAGACCTAGCCTCAGCTTCTTTAGCGCTTTTCGACTAATATAACTACGGGTAGCCCCTGTGCCTATAAGGGCCCCTACTCTACTTCTAAAAACTTATCTACTATCACACCTTTGCTCCCCTTCTTCATCTTGGCCCAGACCAGCATCCTCTCCTTCAATTTTTCTGCCAGACCTGTGAGGAAAGTGCCTAGAGAGACTCTAACACAGACAGTCTATGGACAGCTAACTAGGCACTGGTCTGCAACCTCTATCATAGGCTCATGTGGTGTGGGAGTTTCCTAGTGGTGCGCGCACACTTCCCCACATGGCCTAATGGTAAGGGCAGTTGCAACCCCTACCGGCGGCTGCCTTTTGATCCCTGGGCAGCAAATCGGGCTTCCCTATACTTTGGACAATATTTAATAATATGGGCAGGGTCACCGCAATAGATGCATTGCCCCTGCCCCATTCGCTGCTGCCACACTCTCTGGTCCAAGCCCGGGTCTTCCCAAGGCCGGCCCTGTGGCCAACCTGGGTGCCAACCTCCTCTCCGTTGAGGTGATCCTCCACCTCTACACTGTGGTGATCGACTAGGCCCCGAACGATTCGGTGGGGGACCTTGACCCCTACCTCCCTCTTGGCGGTTCCTATGGCCGCCACCCCTCTGTGCGCCCGGACCTCGACCACCCATGGCCCGGCCCCCTTGGCCCTGGCCTCCTCCTCTACTTTGCGGCCTCCCTCCAGCCGCGACATCAGCGTATTTCCTCCCTTGACCCATACTATTGTCTTCTTCTTCAAGTTTCCACTCTATCTGACTATAGAGGACTTCATCGGTACCACCCTCGTCTAAAGTAAGGATCAGATGATCCTTTGCCCTGACCTAACGAGAGATGCTACGACCCTTCCACTTTTTCCCCTTATCCAAACCCTTATGACAGAAAGTGGACACTGGCATGGATTTGGCCTCAAACAGAACCACCTCTCAACTTAACGCGTCGTACATCGGATCTTCTCAAAGAAATATCGTCGTAAGGACTCTGGCATGGCACGATAAAATAAATTAACTAACTGCGTCTCAGTGACCCCGTGGTCTGGGATGGCTACTAAATCATCCATGACTGCTTTGAGTGCCCTTGCACTCTTCCACTGTCGTGAGTGGATCGTTTGCAATTTATCAGAGGCCCTGACGCCTCGCGTGACGTCAGCGAATCTCTCTCTAAGGAGTTTAAGGAATTTGTGAAGAGGGGTGAGTTTGGAATACGCAACCATATTGTTTTCACAATCGGCCGCTCGTGCGAGGGACCTGGCAAAACTAGCCGCTTCATCATCTCTTAAAGCATGGAAGACTACGAGGACTTGTTCCTCAGGCACAATGTGTTGCAGATACACGTAGGTGTTAATGCTAGCCTCCCGATTATCAAAGTTTTCCTTCTTCTTCCCGCCATAAGAGTCAGGAAACGTAAGCTTAACAGGCTCTTTGCGGGGACGCACTTCCATCTTTGCGGCGGCCGCTACTTTGGCACCCTCGATGGCGCCTGCAGAATTTCTTTGCGCCCTCCTTTAGCTTCCTAACCTCGGTCCCTACATGTGTCATCACATCTTGCGCGAATTCTTTGAAACCAGACCGGATGGAGTGGAGGATCATGTCTTGGCCCCTAACAGACTGATGGTGCTCAGTCCAGGCCCTACCTAAGAGCTCGATGCTCCTAATGATCTTGTCCAACTTGGCCTGAATATCAGACTCGGCCTCAACTTCCTGTCTACAAGTCTATAAATTTTCCACTTCTCTAGCCACCTGGTTGGCTTCCTCCATCCTCCTCTTCTTCTCTCTCGCCAGGCGCAACTTCCAGTCCAACCTCTTCTCATTTTCTATTGACTGGCGGTCTGGGGGATCACTCGTTGCTTCGATCTCCCTAATCGCTGCTTCCTTCTCCTCTTGAGGTATATATAGCATCACCTCCTCATCTTCTCCTAACAATAAATTAGCCACCCACTCACATATCCTCTTCTCTACCCACGGGTCATCTTCCTCCGTGCCACTGCTCTCTCCTTTTCCCCCCATGCCTCTTCTTCTTAGGGGCTCTTCTTCCGGCTCTTCTTCTGACTCCTCCTCCTCTTCAATCTCTTGAATACTCATTTATAGAACTATAAGTCGTTTTCAGCAGTTTAGTAAAAACCAGATTCTGCGAAATCGAGTTTATAGAACTATAAATTAATATAACTCCATTTTTAAGTTAACTGTAAAACCCTTGTCAAAAAATATATGTTATGTAAAAGAAGAATTAAAACAACTTTTGCCTGGGACACATCTTCAAATTCCTAGCCAATGATGATTTAACATTAAAAAATATTAAAAAAATATTTAAAAACACCAGATTCTGTGAAATCGAGTTTATAAAACTATAAATTAATATAACTCCATTTTTAAGTTAACTGTAAAACCTTTGTCAAAAAATATATGTTGTGTAAAAGAAGAATTAAAACAACTTTTGCCTGGGGGACATCTTCAAATTCCTAGCCAACGATGATTTAAAATTAAAAAATGAAATTCGTTCATGTATGAGAGAACATATCCAAGCGAATGTATTTGTGAATAGGAGAGCATGTGTGCATGTTTGGGAAACCCCCGAATAGGTTCACCGTGCTACATACCTTACAAAACTATAAACATGATTTTTTTAGTTAAACAAAATATTGTGATATTTCAGTTCCTGAATTAATGGTGCTTTGCAAGGTACTGATTTTTTGTAAAAAAACTTGCTTCTCTCCTCATCACTTCTAGTGGTTCTGAAAAAGTAGTTTTCTATTTCTTTTTTGCCGTTAATTTACTTCACATAAAATTTTGTTCATGTAGGAGGCCTGAAAAAAGTATTATCAGAATCTTTAAAAATTTTCGTGCAAACCTAACAATTTATTTTGTTAGGTTTTCACGAATTCTATGTTATATACAGTTTACAGATACACATACAATGCTTATGGATACATGCATATGGCCTATGCATAGATACAGCTGACAGCCCCACATACAATCAATAAGCACATATACATAGCATTTTTTATTTTTTATTTTTTATTTTTTTTAAGTCCCATGCAAATCTGCCAGGGTAGGTGGTAAGACCAGCGTCCCTTGAGAACATAAGTGAGAACAAAGCTGAGTACATGATTATCAAAACTTCTGGCTTAAACCAGCACTACTTGGCCCAGCTATCGGCCGCCGGAAAAAATACAGTAGAAACGTTTCTAGTCGGATGAATTTGGGCGCTCCTGTAGTAGCCTGTACGTTTCCTAAAATCGTGGCTCGTTAATGGGCATGACTCTAGGAAGTACTGGTGGTTTAAGATTCCTGCTCACTACAGCTCGCTACAGCACTAGCTCAACAATAGTTGTGTAACAACTGCATCACCTCTCTTCCCAGTGATGCCCTCCTCACCCCTCTCTCCTACCTGTTGGGACGGGGGCTGTCGGAGGGGAAGTCCTCTGCCATGGGCCAGGGGGGCACTGGGTCTCTGGCTATGACTTCCCCTTCTTGTCATGCTGTAGTGCTGAGCAGTGAGCTCTGACGTAGAAGCTCTGGATGCTCTAGCTGCTTTGGACGTTCTGGGTGCTCTGAATTGTCTGTCAGGTCTTTGATAGTTCTTGGTGTCCCGGGCATCTTGAATGATTGTCATTACTTTGAAAACTCTGGATGCCCCAGATGCAGGTGTCTTTGTGACACCTGTGCTTAACCTTGTTGGTCTTGTTGGTCTTGAACTGGTCTTGAACTACATTTGAGCTGTATTTGCTTTTACTTAGCTCTGCAGCATTTCCACCAAGGATAGCGGGTGTGGGCGGAATGGGTCTGCAAATTCCTGTGCAGGCCTCAACTGCTCTTTGGGGTCTATTGTTGTCCAGTCCTGAAATTGCAGATGATGGTCCCTCACCACGTCGGTTTGATGTTCCCCCACAATCCTCTGACTCTGGTCCCGGTGTCCATCTTGAGTTTCCTCCGTCCAGCTCACTTTCGCTATCCACCCCCCACGCCTCCCTCCTAGCCAATCCATGCAGAATCTGGAGATGATCCAGTCAGCGTCCCTCTTGGTGTGGGCCAGGTGCAGTTGGTCCTTGGTGGCCTGCCAACGGACTGCAATCTCGTTTTATATCAATTGACGGAGCTGCTCCGTTACTTCCCCCTCTTCCACCCTGGCCCATGGCCATTGCGAGCCATGGACCTCATGCCGCCAGATCCTGTCCCACCACCGCCATAGGAGGATTGCCGAGGGGCATTGCAGAAAAATGTGTTCCACTGTTTCGGGGCGTTTTTGTGTTGGGACGGCCTGCAGACAACATCGGCACCATGGCAGCGCACGGCCCTGCTGCTCTAGCTGTCTGTGGTCTGTTAACCAATCATTTGTTGGTAGACACCAGTGGGCTATTTGCCATAGCAGCGAGGATATCTTGGCTGGTTTCACTTTGTATTCCCTAAATTATTTTATAGGTCTTAGTAAATTAATGTCCACATTGAGGTGACGCCAACACGTATCTTCCAGGTGACCGCGTCCTGAAGCCTTCGCTTAGGTCATAGCATTGGGTATACTGTTTTTTCTAAGACTTAGGTTGGCCAACGCTACCAACTTCTGATTCTGCTGCCCTCTTGGGGGGGACTGACTTGTCCTAATCCACCGTCACTCCTCAGGGTCAAAGGGAAGATCTGAAATTGGGGTCATTGGTCTGTGGACCCTCCAACCTCTACTTTCGTCTAAACTTTGATGTTGTAGACCACTTTCTTTACTCTCCACACAAAGGGTTGCCTGCTCCGAATTAGCCGATTGGTCCTTCCGATGGAAAAACAGTCAATCAGCACCTCCTCCCACTCTACTAGTGGCACTCGCCCTAGAAGGCCTTGCTGCCCCGACAGTCTCATCTAATCCCCTTCCTCCAACTGCGGGCCCCTCCAAAGAATGGTACACCATGCCATGGGGAAGATATCGATTAGTTCTTCTAGCGACATCTTCGTTAGGTGGCAGCATTGCATCCATCTCCGCATTTTTTCTGCACTTTTCCTCCCTCCCATTCTGCATCCCATAGGTCCCCTTGTGACACCCAACCTCACATCCAGCGCGACTTCCTGTTTCGGAGTGGGAGGGGGCTGTGCCAATGATTTTAGGAAAGTGGGGAGTGGAGTCCCAGGCTGGAACTGAGATCTCCAATGCCAAGTTTCAAGGACAGAAATGCAAGTGGCTCCACATAGGGCCTGATCTTTGGTTTTGCTTGTCTCAGAGCCAAGGAACTAGTTTTGTCGGCCACGTTGTTTAGGGCGGGTTCGTATTTGGTGCACGGTGGGAACATAGTGGGTGTCTCTCTGCGTGAACACCTGTCGCCGACGGGCTTCACAGATCTCGGAATCTAACGTGGACGGCCTCAGTCGGAGGCTGTGCTCTCGAGACTCAGCTTCAGAGTAGGTTCGTCGTACAAATCCCGCGGCTCGATAGGCGTTGTACCGCCGGCACTTAGAGCATGACCTACGGGGCCAGAAGAGGGCTGTCGATTCCCAAGGGATGACCATCAGATGATGATAGGGGACAAGGAGATAGAACGGAGGGAAGTTGGTTTCAATGGCGACAAATCCCGCGGTGATGTAATAATCATAATTATGGGTGTCGAGGTTATCCGGGATTCAGGAATTCCGTCCGATGGCCCTGTGAAAGTCCTAGGCACACAATCGATCGCCCTCAGTTTCGCAAGGGTAGGCCGGAAGCCTCAAGTTCAATTGGCAGAAGAGTTGTTCGTTGTCCCGGTATTCTCGGTACTCGGGGTTCCTCAGACTGGCACGGTCAGTGATCCAGAATGGAACGTCGATATTCATGTTTGGCAAGAGGGACTTAACTCATACATTTGGTCATGCAAAGAGAGGTGGTGTCGTGGACAGGTCATGCAGACACACGTATACGTGATGATTGTCGTTCTGGTGATCATTCGTATATGTGCGTGCACATGATCTGTTCCCACCGGATCCGAATCAACCTTATAAATCAGACGGTTGTTCGATGGGCAAAAGGAAAAGGAGAGTAAATAACATTCCCATGCATCAAATGCCAATCACGCGTGGATCATGTATGAGGAATATCCAACCCATGCTCACGCCTATACGCAGATCGTAACCTACCGATTATACATGCATCTATTTCGACCCGGGTTTGTTAAGGGAGACAGCTTCGACAGGCTTAACGCAAAACCACACAGTTGATCACTACCGCATATACAAAGACATGGTCATACAAAAATGGGCGGGATTACATACATTTCTCCATATAACAACAGGGCATTCATCCCTCGTTTCTACAATCGACAATCGTCAATGCAAGTCGTTCGAGTGATCAATCAATTTTGGAATTGCCATACATCTTGTATTGGAAAAGGAAGAGAGGGGGGAGGGGGGGGGGGGAGAGGAAGAAAGATAACCCATACATCAACCAAAGAAAATAAAATCCGAGAGTGCCGCAAGCAAGGATCAACGAGAACCAGAAACCAAAATTATACAGAAGATGCAAGGAGATAACCCCTACTTCAGCACCTCTCTCTCTCTCTCTCTCTCTCTCTCTCTCTCTCTCTCTCTCTCTCTCTC